GACCTCCTCTAGATGACCGATTGGCACCGGGAGGGTGCTCGGGGAGCATTGAGTTTCGAGGCTGTCGGCCAAGCATTCGGCTTTGTCCTCGTCGAATAGGGCTAATGATTGGTCAGGTCGGACCAGTGGCGGCAGGTCCGAGAGGTCTTGGTCGGTTTTGAGAGATTTGGCAATGCGCCAGTACGCGGTGTGACTGGGGGTGAGCTCCCTAGTGAAGTCATCCCATCTGTCTTTCCGTAGTTCCGCTATGCGGGTCTTTACTTCGCGCTGTAAAGCTCGCAGGCGGACCCGGTTTTGGTCGGAGGGGTAGCGATCATAATGTCGCGTGGCGGCGTTCTTTGCGCGCAGCAGAGCCCTTACGTCATCAGGCAGTTTCCATCTACGGTCTCCCGTGTCCGGAACCTCCCTGGAGCAGTCCTTGACTGCCGACTGCAGGTGCTCAGTGAGCGCATCAATGGCAATGTTCGTGTCTTCGATAGACACGATGCTGTCTGGAATGCGGTCCAGCACTGGAGTGTCTGTCGACTCGAGGACTTCCATGAGCCGGCTCCAGTCTGTTACCGTTCTGAGTTTTGGCGCTCCGTCGGCTGGTGGACCTAGGGTGAGAGTGACGGGGCGGTGGTCGGAGGTTAATTCGGCATGGACCTCTATGGAACTCAGCCTGAGGGCTACGTTCTTTAGTAGGGCCAGGTCGAGAACGCATGGCTGGTGCGCTGGGTTTATTGGGTAGTGCGTAGGATGCACAGGCGGGAGGATGTCGTAACCCAGGGAGACCGATAGGCTTTCCAGGGTTAGACCGTTTCGATTTGGGTGGACACAGCCCCAGTTGCTGTGTTTGCTGTTTAAATCCCCCGCTATGATCACCGAGTCCCCCAGGGCCAGAAGGGCTTGGAGGTCGGCGCGGAGGATCTTTTTAGCGGGAGGGAGGTATGCCGATACTAAGTATATCGGTCTATGGTCGGTCATCGCTAGGAGACACACCGAGGCTTCGATGTTTTCGAGCGGGGGCGTGTCGATCGGGATGCATTGCAGGATAGATTAACGTACCGCCGCCTCGGCCGACGCGGTCGTCTCTTTTGACTAGATAGTTCGCGATCCTAGGATCGCGCATCGAAGGTTTCAGGAAGGTCTCCTGCACGAGGAGAACGTCCACCTGATGGTCGGTGAGGAATACGCCGATTTCTTCTTTCTGGCTATGAAGTCCGTTGGCGTTGAAGAACGCCAACTTTACGGACCGAGGTTTGCACCTTAGACCTTTACGACCCATAACTTAAATGGTGAAGTTTGACACTGCGACTAACACGCTGATATGCTCGCAGACGGCTGCGAGCTTGTCTTGTGGGGTTTTCGCGAGCCTCAGCTTGGAGGCCAGGGCGGAGATCTCGCCTGCGTCAATGGCGCAGGCGAGCTTCGCCACCAGTGCGAAGTCGGCGGCGAATCCAGTGCCGCTGACCGCGCTGAGCTGCGGGGTGGGGCTGGGTGGGGACGAGGGGGCCGCTGCTTTGGCCGGCGTCGGGGCTGCAGTAGGCGCAGGGGGCGGGGGGGTCGCCTTCACGACCGGAGGCCGCACCCATGCGTTCTTGGGCGGTGGGGGCGCAGTTGTAGGCTGCGGGGCGGGTGGGGGCGAGGGGCCGGGGCTTTCGCGACCTTCGAGGGGGCGGCCTTGTTGTGGCCGGGACGTGGGGCGCGGGGGCAGCCGCGGTAGTTGGCCGTGTGGCCCTGCTGACCGCAGAGCACACAGCTCGGAGGGGTCTGAGTGTTTGCGACGCGGTCGCATTGTTTTGTGCCATGGTCTCCCAGGCACTTCACGCAGCGCTCGCGTGCGAAACAGTTACGGGCAGAATGCCCGTAGAATTGACAGCGGTGACACTGTCCGGGGTAAGTCCGCTTGTTGGGCGGCTCAACAGAAAGGCCTGATATCAGGCAGACTGTTTTAATGTTAAATATTGCCTTTCCCTCGGGGGAAAGGTCCAGGACAACAAGCACCATGTCCAGTGGTGCTTTTGTTTTGCCTCGGTACATTCTGTGCACTTCGTGCACAGGATATTGCTGTGTGCGTAGATCTGTCAGGACCTCCTGACAGTCTATTTCGCGTGGGACTCCCCGTATGACGACGCGGAGTCTCTTCTCTTCTTCGAGGGCGTAGGTGTGGTAGCCCACACTGTTCGCCCTAAGGAAGGCGGTCAGCTGCCTATGGTCCGCCGGAGTGGGGACCGTTACTTTAATACCCACGGAGGTAACCCTCGCGTGGGTGAAGGAAATGCGCTTTTCTTTAAGCGCGGCAGATACTTTGTTCCAGGACGACTTGTCCTGGATTACAATCGGCGGGGGTTTCCTGCTCCCCGCATGATCGCGGGTTTTAATACCCGCGGTGGACGGGACGGCCGCTCCTTCTGTGGAGCGTTGGGTTTTGGCCGGCGGAGTGTTTTTATTTTTCTTAGCGCGCTTAGCGCGCTTGGCCCCAACTACAATGAAGTCCTCGTCGGAGGAGGACTGGTCGGTCGCGGACGCGGCGTCGGAGTCGGCCGATGGAGTGTCGCACTCCATGTCGGCCGGAGAGGGAGGACGGCTAGAGCCGTCGGAGTTTGAGGACGATGTCCCCGGTGAGGCCGGAGACACGTCCCCTGGGGACGATGGGACGGAGGACTCCCCGGTGTCCTCTCGGTTAGAGGACGCCGGCGAGGCGGGAGAGTTTTTGTGCACCATCGGGGTGCCGATTTCCTTACGGAAGGCATCAAAGATGCCCTTCCCGAATTTTTCCTCGATGAACGCGAGGAATCGCGGGAGGTCGCCCTGGGAAACCTCTGAGGTTCCCATGGTTACCTCCTGTACCGGACTTATTCGATATATAATAATCTATGAGCACCCGACCGGAGTCGGGTGCAATGCTAATGCTAATTTCTAACTACCTAATCTGTATCTTATCTTATCGATAATACTATAGATAAGATAAGATAAAACTATGCTTAGTTATAAAAAAGACAAAAACCGAAAAACCGTTTCTAACGGTCGGTGTATGACCGACCGTTATTTAGCTACTTAACGTTCGCCGCCGGGCCCGCCCGGCGGCTTGTGTAACGGTTTCCCCTTCCCCTAGGGGAGGGGGGGTGTGTGCTACTACTCGTAAACCGCTAATGCGGTAATGAGTGCCTACTCACCGATACACCTGCAGCTGTGAGTGGAGATCGCGTGGGGACACTGTTGTCACTGTCACAGTCACTACACAGTCACTTTGTGCACTTGCCCAACAATACCGGGAGAAATATTTGAGAAAACTCTTTGGATAATCGGATTTATGATGACGCGACGCGGCGCGAATCGTGTGGTGAGACGTGAGATGCGATGGGACGCAATCGGACGAATGAACCTGGAACCCCAACCGCACACCGGTAGGCGGCCTATATTTATACCCCGCCCGGTCGCACGATAACGATTACTAACTCACATCGGTGAGTTTGTGCGAGCGGGACGGGGCGAGTGTGAAAGAGACGCCCGACCCTTCTGAGCGGCACCTTTCGGCATCTATTTACTTATAATATAAACATCCTTATGACTAATATTTCACAATTTTTCCTTATTTCTATTATGGGTAATAAGGACTCGACCTAGTAAATGTTTTATTTCATTGATTAAACACTAATAACTTACGCTAACAATCAGTAATTAGAAACAACTATAAAATATTGCTATGATTACATAAAATAAACTATAATGTCGCGAACAATACTGTTTGCCCAAATAAAACAAAATACCTATCTAAATTGGGTTTCGGCAAATCATATAGTCTTTGCTATGATTTTATTGTCTTTGAATGAGTTCCTAAAGGAGGAAATACTGAATTTGTCTTTTTGTGTCGTCTTAATGGAAGTCGGTAATTGTTTTTGAAATCAATAAGGTTTATTCATTCCCGTGTTGGCCTTATTAATTTTGTAACAATTGATGTTGCCATATTTATTTGCGGAGCAAAAAAAATTGCTTGTTTCAAAGTAAAATCTATATGTAGACTAGCAACAAAAAATGTTTATCTATCCTACAAGGTTGTCATCGTTTGTCTCAATCGTTGGAATACAGGCTAGAATAAAAAGTAAACAGTCGCAGGATGCAAAAAAAAAGTCATAAAGCAATTTTAAATATTATAAAATTTATTATAATTCCAAATTGTCTATTTAAAATTCGAATACCGAGAATACCTGAGTCCTATATCTATATATGTTTTGGTTTTGATAAGTGGTATTTCCTAGATATTGTATCTATGTATGATACTGTATGCTCAAATAAAACAATATACCTATCTAAATGGTTTTCGGCAAGTCATATAGTCTTTGCTATGATTTTATTGTCTTTGAATGAGTTCCTAAAGGAGGAAATACTGAATTTGTCTTTTTGTGTGATTTGAATGGAAGTCGGTAATTGTTTTTAAAATCAATTAAAAAAAATTTTAAAAACCCGTGTTGGCCTTATTCATTTTGTGACTATTAATTGTACCATATTTGTTTGCGGAGCAAAAAATTTCTCGTTTCAAACTAAAATCTATTTGTAGACACATGAATCCACGTACTAAATACAATTAATTAAAAAAAAAAAAAGTAGAGTATGACCACAGCGCTGGTTTCCAGCCAGTCTCAGTCTTAATGAAACAAAAGAAAATGTAAAGTGGTTTCGGTTGCGACTGCATCGCAATAAAATTTTGATACTTCATCGGTGTTTTCACGATTGAATTCTATTTACAAAATTAAACATTTTGTCATCTGTTGTGTTTCGCAGACATACAATAGAGTTTGTACGGGAGTGTGTGAAATTGAGAGATAAAAAATAGGAATTTAATCTATTTCTTGTAATGTGTGACAAAGTAAATCAATAAATATATTTCCATGAGGTGAGTCGTCTGCTTGTTTTGTCAAGTATTATAAAAAGAATTGTCTAAGTTTTCTATAGGTTTGTTGTTATTTTTCTCAATTAATGTAATACAGGCTAGTAGAATAAAAATAAAACAACCGCAGGGTGCAAAAATATGCAGGTGTAATGTTTCATATTATTATATTCAGGCGAAATAACTTCCAAAATCAGAAAAATAAAAAATAAAATACATCATTGGTATTTACGACTTTCTGCCAAACGATTCGGCAAGTCATATAGATATGGTCTTTGCATCACTTGGCATGCGCTCTAAAGCAATCTTAAACAACCTGACCAACGCATGATGTTCATGAAGCAGACACTCCAAGTCTTGAAGAATTGCTTGCTTCATTCCTGCATTGATCTCTAGGCGTCGATCAAGTTGTTCTTCCATGTTGCCCATGAAATATATTTGTAAAAAATTATTCTGTGTATCTTCAAAAGGTAGTAATGATCCAATTCGATGATGAATCTGTCCTTGTATCTACAAAATAAAAACCAGACAGGGTTTAGTTTAACTGGGTTATTATAAACACTTTTTTCGGTGGGAGCGTAGAGTTCAGAATTAGCAAATATACTACATAGGTACCAATAGATAAAGTAAGTTATTCTTTAACTATATTCTATATAAGTACAAAAATAAATACCTTAAATGTCGGATTAAATCCTCGTTCTTCGATAATATCTGCCCCAAATGACGTCATCTGGAAACAACCATTGTATTTTTGAGTATTTGCAACAAAGTGGCGTGATTCTTGTGTTTCGCCACAAAGCAATGAATACAATGGCTCAGGTGGCGGAGTCAACAATGGCAATTTCACTTTACCATTAAGGCAGCATAATCCAGGCGTTTCTCCGGAAAACTGTAATGCACCACAATACTCGCAAACTACGTCCATTTGCCCAATGCAAACGCTAGGATGCAAGCTGTAATCATTGCTGCAATCGTATTGAAACGCTGCTCGATTCAAATCAGCACTTGATAAATATCTTGTTCTGCGTTGCAAATTATCTATTTGTTGACCTCTGTTGTTCGCTCGACGATTCTGCATTGCCAACCGAGTTGTTTCACAGGCTGCTTCCCTTTGCTCTCGTGATTGAGAAGCACGAAGTCGAGCCATACTATCGCGGCGCTGTTCACGTGCAATTTCTTATTCTTCTTCAGTCCTTTCATTTGCAGTATTTCGTATTCTTCTTGCATCACGGCTTTGTCGGGAAAGATTCGATCGTCTTGGTCGCGGCATTATTAATTAAACTTCACTTCACCTAAAAACTCAAATTTTCAACCATATCGAGTTTTATAGTTCACTTTACTGTTTATACGAATAGGCAATGGCACTATCATTACATTATAATTGTTAATTATTTATTTAATAGAAATAGTTTTATTATTGATTTCTTACAAATATCAAATTGTCATCCATACGTCATTACATTGCTGTCATTTGCGTTTTGTTATTCCAAGTCTGATTCTTTTTTGTTATACCACGTTTTAAAGTGACTGACGTTTCATGTCAAGTCACACGGGAATGCTGTCGAACGGGATAAAAAGTATCCTATGTCCTTCTCCTGGCTCTAAACTACCTCCCTGCCAATTTTCAGCTAAATCGGTTCAGCCGTTCTTGAGTTATAAGTGGAGTAACTAACACGACTTTATATATATAGATATCTAATTTTCTGTCTCGTTTTAACAATAATTACTATTATTCTATGAATTTATCTTATTCTATAAACAATTCTATTAATTATTGATATATATATATATATATATATATATATATATATATATATATATAATAAGTTTTTTAACAAATTTAAACTATTTCTATTAACTATTGGTTATAAAAGACTATAAACTATATGGAATATTGTGTTAATCACATCAAATATTATCAAACTATGAAAACTGTTAAAGTAAAACTATAAACTATTCCTATTTGAAATGATAACAATAATTATGAAGTTATTTACATTCTATGGGAGCGGTGGTCCGAAACAATATGAATACCATTTTCTTTGGCATAACTCAAAGATTTAATGCTATTATGAGTTGAGTGACCATCACAAATAAGTAGAACCGGATCGTCTTTGCTAGATTTCGTATATGCCTGAAAATGTACCATTTTACGACCACCTCTGTTCATCCATCCTGATTCTTGTGCTAGTCTAGTCCAAGAGTGCCGGTGGGAGCTTCATCAACTAGTTCGTTTTTCATGTTCTTCCTAGGAAATATCATACATGGCGGAATAAATGAACCGATGGCATTCGTACAACACACTACTGTCACATTCGAACCTCTCAGCATTGGTGAGACAGCCGACTTGTTTTCTGCCTTTGGTGAGCAGAATTTTTTGTGGTCTCCGGACTGTAAGTGAGCCCGGTTTCATTTATATTGAATATTCGTTGAGGTCCCAAGTTGTGAATCTTTAAAAATTCTTCATAAATACGGAAAAATTTTGTTACTTGTGGTTTATTAAACCCTTGCGCTCTTGCAGCAGAAGTTAGTTCTGGGGTGCGCAGAGAATTGTCCTCATTTCTTCTCAGGAAACCGTCAAGCCATTCTTGTCCAGCATATTTCTTGTCCTTGTTGAAAGGGTGATCGATACCATTTTTTCGGCTAGTTCAAAGGCAAGCTCTTGGAGCGATGTACGCGTGAAACCAAAAAGTCGTGTTTATAAAAACTTTGTGTTCTACTAATTCCTACTCAATTTCAGTTGAGAATGTTTTCTTAAATCTTCCTAATCCTTTAGAGTTAGAATTCAACGTTTTGTTCATATTGAGTGCATACATAGATACATACATACGAGGTTTGTCCGGAAAGTACGTATAAAAGTTTTTTTAAAAATTTTATTTTACAATTATTCAGGTAAATCAATTTTATCCCCTTCAAAGTACTCCCCCTGTGACATAATGCACTTGTGCCAACGCCGTTTCCACTGTGAGAAGGCTCCTTGAAAGTCCTCTGGTTGTAGGTTTCTCAGCTGCCCCATCGTAGCTTTTTTTATCTCATTTATGTCCCCCAAATGCCGCCCCCGAAGTACCAATTTGGTTTTTGGGAACAAGAAGAAGTCACACGGGGCCAAATCCGGCGAATAGGGGGGGTGTTCGGTCACCGTAATGGAATTTTTACTCAAAAACTCACGGACAACAAGAGAGGTGTGGGCAGGGGCATTGTCGTGGTGAAGAATCCAACGCCCCTCTCGCGCCAATTCTGGACGAACTCGTGCCACACGAGCTTTGAGGCGTCTGAGCACATCGACGTAGAATTTTCCATCAACTGTCTGGCCTGGAGGGACGAATTCTTGATGGACAATCCCCCGAACATCGAAAAAAACAATCAACATTGTCTTGACATTTGAGCGGGATTTTCTTGATTTTTTTGTTCGTGGTTCCCCGGATGTCTTCCACTCTTTGCTTTGGGATTTTAATTCGACATCAAATTCGTAGAACCAAGACTCATCTCCAGTGATGACTCGGTTCAAAAAGTCACCATTCTCTTCGGCTTCCAACCAGTCCTCACAGCAAGCAACTCTTCGTGATTTTTGATCCGGGGACAAAAGCTTGGGAACGATCTTGGCGCAAATTTTTTTCATTTGAAGTTCGTTTCTTAGAATTTCGTGGACCACGGTTTTGCCCAAATTAAGCTCTTCAGCCACCTGTCTGACCGTTAAACGACGGTCCCCATTAACACAAGTTCGAATTCTTTCCACGTTTTCGTCGGAATGTGAAGTGGAAGGACGTCCTGAACGTGGGTCATCTTGAACGCTTTCTCGGCCCTCTCTGAATCTTTTTAGCCACTTGTGGACGGTTGGTTCCTTCACAGCATCATCCCCATAAACTGTTCTGAGATCGGCAAAAATTTCACGGCCATTCTTGCCGAGTTTCGAGAGAAACTTGATTACGACGCGCTGCTCTTCAACGGAAGCGGGCTCCATGCCGACGGGATTTCGTTAAGAGGTAACTTTACAGATGGCGTGACAAGCCAGTTCGCACCGCACGGCGGTCAGACCAGAACTGAAGCATTGTTAGGGACATAAGGAAGGGGTCCTGCGCTTACCTGGCCTCCCCACTCCTCTTTCTCGCATTCCAGAACACTTTTATACGAACTTTCCGGACAGACCTCGTACATATCTGTCACGCCTGTCTCCCATTAGGGTAGGCAGAAACAATGGAACGCCAAATGCTTCGATTCAAACAAACCTCTTTCGCTTCTTCCACATTCATCAATCTTGTCATACACGCTCGCCGGTTACGGGTACTTTTAATTTGGCCCTTCTTCAGCACGTCGCCTATTTGGTCGACATACGTCCGTCTAGGGCGGCCCCTACCGACATCTCCATTCATTCTTGCTCGATAAATCTCTTTCGTAATTCTTCTTTCATCCATCCTCTCCAAATGACCAAACCAACGCAACATTCCTTTTTCGATTTTTGTCACTACATCGTCTTTCAGTCCATTGAGTGCGTGTCTTCTAAACGTCGCCTAAGGAACACCCAATGTTTTTGCGGCCAATTCCCATCCCATTTTTTTTTTGTTTCTATGCTTTATTGTTTCCATTCAATAGCCTTAGTGCCTTAGCGATTAGTTTTCCTTTTGTACTCGTATTTTCGCAGCATATCACCTAAATAAAATAATAAATGTTAATTAACATGAAATCTACGTACAAAATGACACACCATGTCGTTTTGTCCACTGTATATGTATTTCATTTTGTCCTAATGTGAACAAAAATGAATAAAAAATCAAAGTTTCACCAAACACCTGATAATTGCAATTATTTTAATCGAAATCACCGGGTACTGGCATAAGTTGTCGAAGGCCTTTGCTACGTCGAAGGATAGGACACCGGTGGCCCCTTTGGGCTTGAAGTATCGGGCCTCGAGGATATGTTCCACTAGACGGTGAACTTGATGAACAGAATGCCCTCATGCTTCATGACATGAAGCGTCCTCATTTTTTTTTGTCCCTTTCTGACCTGTTGCATCTTCGTTGTTACTGAATCGTCCCGAACTGATATTTTTATAATAAATTTTGCTTCGTAATGATACGAACGTCACCTTCTGTAAACAATGTGGAGAAATAAGCCCAAAGCCGTTGCAGTTAAGGCACTTTTTTCCTTGTTTTTTTCGGACGCGGTTCCGATATATGACTTCTGTCTCCTCAATTATATATTTTATTGCGACATAATCGGGAAATTTACCACGTTTACCCATTTCTCGCATGAGTAACAGGTAATCTAGGCACGATTTTTTTTATGCCTAGCGGACATCATCTCATGGACCGCTTTTACGTCCATGGTGTCTGGGAATTCTTTTGAAATTTCATTCTTTTAATCTTCCCATGTCTTAAACGGTCGTTCCGCTTTTAGCCACAGTTCTGCCATACCTATAAGTGACCTTCGTGTGTCCAGCAGTTGTTGCAAAGATGTCCAATCGTAGATTTCTGCGTGATCTTCGACATCTTGGATTCACCTTGTGACCGTGTACACTTTATCCTGTCTACTAAATTTCGGTACGACATCCGCCGTTATGTACAGCTGTAGCGATGTAGACGCCTGCTGCCTCGTTACATCTCTTCCGTCATCATCTTTCTGACGGTTTCCTCTGCCTTTCTTTCTTGACCGGTGGTATTGATGGTACTTCAAACAATGTATCGTAAAAATATTCTTCGTTATAGAATATCTCCGCCGTCGTCGTCATAGATACAAACTCGTCCGTCGTCATTGATCACGTTGTAGGAAAAAAAATTCCCGCAACCCGATCACTTATAACTGTAGAAATTATTTCCGATCCCGTACGAGTCCCCAAAAACGTAGGTTCGAGGAGTCAGAAATAAAATTCCTCCTTTACACAAGCGATTTATCCTTTTTACAAATGATTGTAAAACAAAACTCAATCGTAAAAATAAGTCGTAGGAGCATAGGAGTAGTAGGAGTGTCTATGCACTCGTTCATTCGTCGTCCATCTGAATATTTTATCCAACCGTTCCTCTCTTCACTCGACATCAGTCTTTCTCATTTCTCGTATTCCAATCTATGCATACAACATTCACTTTTAACATACGTTCCCTTTCATACCAATCCCAGATACATTTGTGGGTTCTAAATTGACGCAGTTTCCAGTACGAGTTGAACCTTTTTCGCTATTTGCACCAAGAAGTGTGCCGTTCACTGTTTCCACAGTTAGCCAGTTTCTTAGCTCTGTCTTTATTAAAATGACTTCACTAAAAACCCACAGCTTTCGCATGGGGTAGGGACAGTGCATATAGGTTAAAAAAATCTACTGAATTTTCTTTTGCGCGCATAAGGTCTTGCGTTTGGTGGGGGGCTCGCGTGTGTATTTGATATTTATTTTAAATTTTATAAATTTTCTTAAACATGTTGTATCAACATATGTACCTACATTTACTAATAAAAATCAGCATAACAACTTTAAATACAATTAAACATTAAAATTGTTATTATACCAAAATTTGTAATGAAAATTACACAAGTAAACACGATTTTTGAGTCTGAGTTCTACAGAACTGATGCTGATTTTGATTAATAATGTCTAACTAAACAAAGAAAAAATACTTTTATCTAATAAAGTTTGCTTTTGTAGCAACCAGAACGCAATTTCAAATTTTAAGAAAATCGATATTTCTTAATTCAGTAGAATACAAACGGAAGAAAAAGAACTTTTTGTTGTTGGGTCGGTAGGGGCGTCGGCAAGCACCGGAGCGCTGGTACGCCCGGACGTCGACC